GGTTAAAAGAAGCAATACAACGACACTTTCAAGGTCTCTCTGAAGAACTTTGGAATCAATTATGAGACGTGGGAGACACTGACACAGGACCACCCAACATGGTGGGCCTGCATCAAAGAGGGCTCTGTGTTCTATGAACAAAGTAGAATTGCAGTAGCTCAAAAGAAATGTAAGATTCAAAAATGTAAAGACATCTCCACTCCAAATGTTCATATGGGATATTTTTGCCTGACCTGTGGTAAGCCTTCCAAGGTCATATTGGTCTGATCAGTCATGTTGGACACATTGTACCTTGACTCCAACATAATAGTGTCATTTGGGTCCTCTTCAATAATGAAGAACAACAACTAACCAACCAACTATATAACCTCCTAGGCTCTTTTCAGCTCTAATATACTACAGGTTTTGAAGAGAGAAAGCATTTTGATCCAAGTTCTTTAGGTAGACTCACTAGTGATTTTATTCAGATATAAGAGAGGGAAGAAATGATATGTTTTTGCCACCTAAGGCTAAAACTTTTTTTAAATTGAGGGGCAGTGAGGTCTAGTGAAGACAGGCCTGGGCTAAGGTTTGATGACAGGCATACTTTGTTGTGGTCTTGGCACCAATTTCCAGAATTTCAGTCAGAGGCAGATTAATATGAAATCTGGAAGATGGCCCAAGGTACAATTGTGAGGCCCCATCACTCCATTTTAAATTACTGCATTGTAAATCATGACTGAGCATAGGGATAATCCCTTTTAACTGTGTTGAACCACTTTTTCTTAATCTCCTCTTGATTTCCAGCTACTTCCCTTTGAAATTCTAGGCTGGAAATGGACATTGATCCCATTCCTCCCCAATATGGGATTTCTTCTCATCTTAAATACCATTTTTTTTTGTGGTGAGTTAACAAAAGGGCCAAGATTATGGATTATATCTTCATATGTACCAGCCAGGTCTTCTTTGTGGTCAGGTGTCACAAAAATGCCTGAGATAGCTAAGTAGTATAGTGAATAGAGCACCAGGCCTAGAGTCTGGAGTGAGAAAGACCTGAGTTCAAATTCAGCCCTAGATACTATACTATATTATACTATACTATACCCTGGGCAAGTATTTAACTTTTTTGCCTTAGTTTCCTCATTTGTAAAAATGAGGATAATAATAGTATCTACCTTATAGGATTATTGTGAAGATCAAATGAAGTAATAATTGCAAAATGCTTAGCACAGCGTCTGGCACATAGTAAGTGCTATATAAATGCTGTTGTTGTGCAGTCATTTCAGTCATGTCTGACTCTTCATGATCCCATTTGAGGTTTTCTTGGCAAAGATACTGGAGTGGTTTGCCATTTCCTTCTCAAGCTCATTTTACCCATGAAGAAACTGAGACAAAAGGATTAAGTGATTTGCCCAGGGCCACACAACTAGTAAGGGTCTGAGGTGGGATTTGAATTCATGAAGATGAGTCTTTCCTACTCCAGCCCCATCCCTTCCCACTGCCTAGTTGCCATAATTATGTAAATGTTAGCTATTATTATTATTATTATTATTATTAGTTTAAAAAGGTCTAGGATAAGAGACAGTGGATAGAGAAATATAAATGTCACTGCTATTGGAAACTCAGAACAAAGTAATGCCTTGAAGAGGCTTCTAGGTGGTAATAGAGTACTGAACTGGAGTCAGCAAGAACTGAGTTCCAATCCTGCCTAATATTTGAACTGCCTAAAGTTACCAGTTGGGACTCTCTTCAAGTCACTTAACCATTGCTTGCCTCAGTCTCCTCATTGGTGAAATGGGGATAATAATAACACCTACCTTCCACGGTTGTTGTGAGGATAAAATGAGATAATATTTGCAAAGTACTTTATGAACCTTGAAGTGGAATAGAAGTATTGTTATTATTATTGAATTGGAGTCATAAGATTCTCTGGGCATTGATATTTGTGTTACTTTAGACCTAAGTCACTTTTTCTTTTCTGAGCTTCCATTTCCACATTGGTAAAAAAAAAAAAAAATGGTGGTACTATCTGCTTTGCCTAGCTCACAAATTTGTTTTGGAAACCAAATGAGGTTTTGAGCTTTGAGAATGAATGTTACTGTTTTCCTCAATGTGTGGAGATTAAGGTACAAAAGCAAATATCAGTTTTGGGAGAGTGAGTCCAGGTATAGAAGTGGGAAGGGAAAAGAGCAGAACAAAGTGAAAAAATATAGGATTCTTGAAAGTACATGAAGGGGCAGATGGGGATAATGAAGTATGACCCTTTATCATCATCAGAAAGTCTGACAGCTTCTTACTTGAGGAGTTGATAAGAAAAGCTGTTTAAGTTCTTTCTTAGGCAGGTAGCATTGATAGGTAGATAGATGGCACAGTGGAGAGTAGTATTTTAATTTAGGAAGGCCTGACTTCAAATCTTGCCTCAGATACTTACTAACCATATATCCCTGGGAAAGTTGTTGTATCTTTCCTAGTTTCAATTTCCTCTTCTGTAAATTGGGGATAATAATAGCACATCACAGGACTGTCGTGAGGATCAAATTAGTTAATATATGTAAAGTGCTTTGAAAACCTCAAAGTGCTATATAAATGCTAGTTATTACTTAGCAGATTGTATTACCCACAATTCATCTTGAAATTCTCGTCTGATTTAGTGCCATTGCTGGCGTAAGAGGTATTTTCAATATTATTTTTTTAATTTTTAATTTTTTTGTTTTTAACATGTGTTTTTAAAATTCTGGGTTACAAATTTTCTCCCTTCTTCCCTCCCCACCCACCCTCACTGAGGAGGCAAGCAACTCTATACAGGTTATACATGTATAGTCATGCAAAACACTTCCATAGTAGTCCTGTTGTGAGAAACTAAGTACATTTCCCTTCATCCTATCCTACCCCCCATTTATTTTATTCTCTCTTTTGACCTTGTCCCTCCTCAGTAGTGTTTGCTTTTGATTATCCCCTCCCCCAATCTGCCCTCCCCTCTATCAATCCCCTGCTCTCGTCCCCTTCCCTCCTTATTTCCTATAGGTTAAGATAGATTTCCATACCCCATTGTGTATGTTATTCCCTCCTTAAGCCAAATCCTATGAGAATAAGATTCACTCATTCCCTCTCACCTTTCCCCATTTCCTCTCCACTGTAAAAGCCTTTTCTTGTCTGTTTCATGTGAGATATTTTACCCCATTCTATCTCTCCCTTTCTCCTTCTCTCAGTATAATCCTCTCTCACCCCTTAATTTTATTTTCCAGATATCATCTCTTCATCTTCAACTCACCTTGTGCCTTCTATCTGTCTACCTATACATACATATAATTTTTTCCCTCCCACTACCCTAATACTGACAAAGGACTCATGAGTTACAAATATCATCTTTTCCCTGCAGGAATGTAAACAGTTCAACCTTAGTAAGTCTCTTATGATTTCTCTTTCCTGTTTACCTCTTCCATGTTTCACTTGAGTCTTCTATTTGAAGGTCAAATTTTCTATTCGGCTCTGGTCTTTTCCACAGGAATGCTTGAAAGTCCCCTATTTCATTGAATGACATTTTTCACCCTGAAGGATTATACTCAGTTTTGCTGGGTAGGTGATTCTAGGTTGTAGTCCTAACTCCTTTGCCCTCCGGAATATCATACTCCATGCCTTCCAGACCCTTAATGTAGAAGCTGCTAAATCTTGTGTTATCCTGATTGTGTTTCCACAATACTTGAATTGTTTCCTTCTGGCTGCTTGCAATATCTTCTCCTTGACCTGGGAATTCTGGAATTTGGTTATAACATTCCTAGGAGTTTTCCTTTGGGGATCTCTTTCAGGAGGTGATCGGTGAATTCTTTCAATTTCTATTTTGCCCTCTGGTTCTAGAATATCAGGGCAGTTTTCCTTGATAATTTCTTGAAAGATGATGTCTAGGCTCTTTTTTTGATCATGGCTTTCAGATAGTCCAATAATTTTTAAGTTCTCTCTCCTGGATCTATTTTCCAGGTCAGTTGTTTTTCCAGTGAGATATTTCATATTCTCTTCTATTTTTTCATTCCTTTGGATTAGTGTTACAGTGCCTTGATTTCTCAAATTGTCACTAGCTTCCAATTTCTCCATTCTAATTTTTAAGGAAGTATTTTCTTCAGTAAGCTTTTGGACTTCCTTTTCCATTTGGCCAATTTTGCTTTTTAGGGCATTCTTCTCCTCATTGACTTTTTGGACCTCTTTTGCCATTTGGGTTAGGCAATTTTTTAAGGTGCTATTTTCTTCAGTATTTTTTTGGGTCTCCTTTAGCATCACTCTCAGTTTTTCCTCTATTTCTCTTACTTGCTTCTCAAAATCCTTTTTGAGCTTCTTCCATGGCCTAGGGCCAATTCATATTTTTCTTGGAGGCTTTGGATGTAGGAGCTTTGGCTTCATTGTCTTCTTCTGGTTGTATGTTTTGATCTTCTTTGTCATCTAAGTAAGATAATACAGTCTGACTCTTTTTGCACTGCTTGCTCATGATCTCTGCTTTCAATATTATTACCCACATTGTTCATTCCTTAATTTCTTCATTCAATAAGCATTGTTCAATCATTGCCACATGCAAGGCACTATGCTGGGATCGTGTGTGTGTGTGTGTGTGTGTGTGTGTGTGTATGTGTGTATGAACACATGTATCCAGACCACACTGATTAACAAGCTTGACAAAGGGCCTGGTTTTTATTGCCATTGGGAGAATATCAAAGGAAAAAGAAAACTGAAATCAAAATTCGGCTCCATTATCTTTTTATACTCCATGTCTGCTTTGAACTTCAATTGAGTCCGTCACTCATAATAAGATAAAAATTTGTGTGACTGTAAAAACTCAACATGCCTATACTTTGTGAGCTGTAAATCCACCCCAATTCTTGGGAGTAGGAGATTCCAAGGAATTAAGTACTCCCTAAAGAACACAGTAGTCAAGGAGTAGTTACATATACAAGAATCAGCCAAGTAGCATCTTGGTTTCATAAAGGTATTACATGTGGCTATCTTTTAGTCACACATGATGCTTTTTTTTTTAGGACCTGACCAGGAGGTTTCATTAGGGTCATCTGCAGCAATCTCAACAAACAAAGGTAAACTGGAATCTTGTTCCTAGACCTAGATCATTGTAGGGCCCTTTGTACTTAACTTCTCCTAGATGAAACTCTGCCTTTGGAAACTGAATCACTTGGGAACAATGCTGTGAAAAAGAGAAGTAAGAATAGCAGTATCTGTGAATGGGGGAGGGAGATGATGGAGATTCACAGGATAACAGAGTATTACAGATTAGTAGAATATGAGCCCCTTGAGGGAAGTGACTGTTTTTTACTTCTTCATATCCTCAGCTCTTAGCACAATGCCTGGCACATAGTTAGCATTTAATAAGTCTTTGTTGATTGATTAGAGAAGAAAAGAACCTTAGAGATGACCCAGACTAGGAATTCTTAACTTTTATGTGTGTTATGAGGTTCCTTTTGTGGCAGGGAAGCCTATGAACCTCTTCTCAGAATAACGTTTTAAAATGCATTAAATAAAATATGTAGAATTATAAAGGAAAAATGATATTGAAGTAAAGATTTAACTGTTTTTCCATTCAAGTTCATGGATGACTTGAAATCTATGGTTAGTGATCCCTGGTTAAGAACCACTGATCTAGAACAACTAGGAAATGAAAGCCTAAAGAAAAATTGGTATGTGAAAGCGGAGAAGTTGAATATGGAAGTATAAAATGGGGATATTTTATCTTTTGGTAAGGGATGGGCAGTTCATCCTCCATCCTTATGTTCTACTCTCCTGCCTCTTGCTTTGTTCTCTTTTTAGGGGCCCCTAGATAGGCAGAAGATAATGGCCATGCAGGGCATCCGATCATTGCTGCTGCTGTTGGCCTTGCTTGGCCCATGGCTGGTGCAGCCCTCTTCTGGCCAGAGTCGGAAGTACCAACAGTTCCTGCGACAGCATGTGGACCCTTACAGTGAAGGTGGTGACGCTACGTATTGCAACCAGATGATGCACAGGAGGCGGATGACTGTGCCAAAGTGCAAGCCCGTTAACACCTTCATCCATGAGGACATTTGGAACATCAACAGTATCTGCCATACCACTGAGATCAAATGCAAGAATGGCAAAATGAACTGCCATGAAGGCATCATGAAGGTCACAGATTGTAGAGTGACAGGTGGCTCAACTTCCCCAAACTGTAGATACCGGGTCACGGCTGGAACCAGGCATGTTGTCATTGCCTGTGAGAATTTAGAGCCTGTGCACTTCGATGGCTAAGATCCATCCTGCTGGCTTTACCCTCAGCCAAAGTTCCCACTTTCTTATTGTCTGCTAGTGAAAGATGGGAGCTGTCCTGGGCCCTATTCCCTAGAATCCTCTGCTTATTCTCCTATAACTGGTCCATGACTTCGTATACTTGACCCTAAAGGAAGAGAAACAAAGTCTGCAAAAGAGCTGGGTTATATCCCCTAATAAACCTCCTTGTATAGTTGTGGAAGGGTTAAATCTTCTTTTTCCTGTCCTCTTGACAGGAGAAAGGATGAATAGTGATACCTTTATATATATATGTCACATCTTCCTTTCCAAAACATTTTTTAACATGTCATTTCATCGTGTGATTGTCATAATACCCCCAATAACACTAATGTACCAGAGGTGTCATATACTAGGCCCATGGGCCACATGTAGCCTGTAACGCTCCTGAGTGTGGACGAAACTAGATTAAAATGTAATTGGGAAATGTTTAATAAAATAAATAAAAATACAATCAAACATAGATAATAGTATATTTTAAAACTAAGTCAATATGAGGCCTGCAGGATTCTTTTTTTAACAATATAATGACCCTCATTTCTATTTGAGTTTAATAGCACCTTTAGCAGACTATGTTGTGTCTAAAGTTTTTACTAAGCACTTTCTGAGCTTCATAACAGCCCAATAGGCATCGTTCCCATTCCTGGTTTATGGCTGAGGAAACTGAAGCTGAGAGAAAGTCCATGGTCACACAAATAATTGTTGGAGGCAGATTTTGAATCCTGGTCCCTCTTGACTTTAAGTGTAGACCCTTTTCCATTACACCATGAACCCAAGGAATATTACTATTCTCATTTGAAAGATGGAGAATCTGAGGCCCAGAGTGGTCAAAAGGCTAGTTAGTGTGGTTTAGCCAAGCATAGACTATAGATCTGCTAGCTTCTAAGCTCATTCCCTCTTTATTACACTGAGACAAGCATCAGAATGCTGGTTCTTCTTAGTAGCCAAAGAAAACCAGCTGCGGTGGGAGGCCTTCATTAACTTTGGAGTTGGGACAGTGGAAAGATTTGGACCCCATCAGTTTCAATGTGAATTAGGATAGGATCAAACTACCAGACTAAATTTCCTTTTTTCCTCTTCCCAGGCCTAGGAACTGCTTTAGTGAGTTAGAATCACATATTAAAAGAGCAATATAACCTCAATATTCTGTTGGAGATCTTGGCATGATTGAATTTCTCTGTTATAAAAGACTTTAATTTGTAACTGTGAAGCACCAACTATATTTTGGGACAAGGAGGGTTATTTATTTTTCTCTTCCCTTAACCTCAATACTCACATACCTTAAGCCTCCTTGGCTAGCTACCTCCCCATTCCAAATGAACAGCTAAGGCTTGGGCATAAAGCCCATGTTTACCAGGGGACTCATGATAAACTTTACAGTCAGTTTTCTGTGTCCTGGCAATAATCAGTTCTGGAGGGCCCAGAAGTAGTGTGGATGTTACAAAAGCACAAATTTATCGCTGGAAACTTGCTACCTGCTTATTTGAGTGTAGGATGCTTTGAGGGAAGTTTGTCATATTTGTGTATGTGTGTGTGTGTGTGTATACACACATGTGTGTGTACATATGTGAATGTTCTATGATTCTTATACTCATTGACAGATTCCCTTACTGTGAGTGGAGGAAGTACCCCAGTTGATGTACTACTAAACTAAGCCTAGAGTCAGTCTAACATCAATGCTTCTAGTATAATTTCAGAGGATTATTTCAGTCTCTTACCAAGGTCTCTCTGGATCTCTCACTGAGTCCACTCTTGCAGCCTATAGAAAAATAAGATTATTGGAGGCTTCCCAGAGAAGCCAACTTTCCTCAGGGTACACACAGAAAACAATAGGCCCCTACAACTCCAACCTTCTGGACAGACCATACAGGGTCTCATGTCCCTGGGCAACTGAGAGTGGCACCCAACATGACTGCGGGTTGTGGTAGTAAGGCTTAGTCCCAAGTCCCTGTCACCAAACACCAGAGCATTGCTTTTGACTATTCTCCTTAGCAGAACCATAGGGGCTGCTTCAACAGTCATATGTCCTGAATGACTTACAGTCATAAGGACTTATATAATGATTTATATGACCTTAAATGACAAACAGTGGCAGCTTCCCAAAGGCTAGTAATGAAGGACAGTCTATTTACTATGGCAGGGAAGGAAGGAAAAAAGCATTTATTAAGTACTTGCTATGTGCCAGGCACTGTGTTAAGTGCTTCACAAATATTATCTCTTTTGGTCTTTACAACATGGTGCTATTGTTATCTCTATTTTACACTTGAAAAAACTGAGGCAGATAGAGGTTGTGACTTGCCTAGGATCATACAGTTAATAAGTATCTGAGGCAGGATTTGAATTCAAATATTCCTGAGTCTAGACCCAGCAAGGGGTCCACTGTGTTGCCTAGCTACCTCAGGTGAGAAATCGTAATCCCTTGATCCAGAGGTTCTTGTTTAGTATCATTCTGTTCTAATAAGACAATGTGTCTAGGTCCCTCTTGCTACTCTCTCTCCCCCCACCTCACCCACAATCTGCGATACTGCATATGGAGACCCAGATTTATAGGGATGTAAGGGTTGAGACCTGACAGGAACTTTAGAGATTGATTGGCCCAAATGCCTTCATTTACAGATGAAGAAAATGAGGACTAGTGATGGAGAGTGACTTGCTCAAGATCATGCACATAGCAAGTAGTACTTTGGTGATTCCAAAACAGGCCTTATGGGACTAGGTCTGGTGTTCTTCCACTCCACCGTTTTGACTCATAGAATGTTCAAGTAAAAAGGGACATTACAGATGATTTATAAAACCTCTCATTTAAAAGATGAGGTTTGGGAGGTACATAACCACAATAGTAATAATAATGACAACAATAATAACAACTAAGATTTACTAAGTGTTTTAAGGTTTGTAATGTACTTTCCTCACCGGTGTTCTTTGAGAGGGGTAGAACACATCTATTATAGCTATAGTTACCTTTCATTTAAGCAAACTCCCTTCTCCTTAGTCCCTCATGCAAATCGCTTAAGGTCCTTAGACCTCAATTTCCTCATCTCTAAAATGAGTTGCCACATATTTTTGTTGTTGTTCAGTCATGTCCAACTCTTCACGACCCTATTATGGTTTTCTTGGCAGAAATATTGGAGTGGTTTGCCATTTCCTTCTCTATCTCATTTTACAGATGAAGAAACTGAGGCAAACAGAGTTAAGTGACTTGCTCAGGGTCATATAGTTAGTAAGTGTCTGAGGCCAGATCTGGACTCAGGTCCTTCTGATTCAAGGGCCAGGGCTCTATTCAGTGCACCACCTAGCTGCCCCTAAGATCAGTCTTCCTGACTCCAGGCCCAGAATTCTGTCCACTGAACCTTGATTTCAAAAGTCCCATCTAGGTCTAAAGTCTATGGTACTTGTTTATTAGAAAAAATCCTAAGGAAAAGGTTCATCCTATCTTAGGAAGGGATCCTTAGGGCTTTAAGGAATAGATGTATGTCCCTATTTTGTATCTTTTCCCCATCTTTCAAACATTCCAAAGACTACCACATGTAAGATAAGGGTGAGGATGTGGTTTAACAACTAAAGATATCCTAATCAAAATTGTTCCCCTGTATATTTTTCATTTTCATCCCACTCCTTTTTGGGATACGTGATTTCTCACAAAAACAGAACCATGGCTATTATAAACCACAGTTATCATAATCTCTTCCTCTCTTAGTCATCTTTATCGTATTACCAATCATTAATCTAGCAAAAGATCCTGAACCAGGCTTCAACAACTTATATGAAATAGCTGGGCAGGGTTTGGTAAAAAGTTGTTCTTGGCACTGCCTATATATTCTTAACAATGGGCATTGTTTTGTCAGTGCTAGCCACCTAGATTATCTTTTTATGTCCAGAAACCTCTAAGGGTTTGCTGATTATAAATCATATTTAAAAAATAATACTTCTAATGGTTTACCAAGGCAGTTAGATAACAGTTTCTCTGTTGTCTCTGCAAATGGCATCTTCTCCCAATATATTTTTATTGTTATCTCTTTTACAAAGGAATATTTACTTCAAAGGCGTAGCAAGAACAAACATACATTTTCTCCCCTCTAGATTTCCTGCACACCACCTGTCTTTAGATAGGAGAAGGGGATTATTTTTTTCAGTGCTAGTCGCCTAGATTATCTCTTTATGTCCAGAAACCTCCAAGGGTTTGCTGATTATAAATCATATTAAAAAAATAATACTTCTAATGGTTTACCAAGGGAGTTAGATAACAGTTTCTCTGTTGTCTCTGCAAATGGCATCTTATCCCAATATATTTTTATTATTATCTCTTCTACAAAGGAATATTTACTTCAAAGGTGTAGCAAGAATAAAGATACACTTTCTGCCCTCTAAATTTCCTACACACCACCTGTCTTTGGACAGGAGAAGGAGATTAGGTTCCAGTTTAACTCAGTGCTACATAACATTAGTCTCATTAAGTTCCAAGTCCAAAGCTTCTTCTGGGCTTTCATCCCAGCACCTGGTTTCTCAGAGCTTCCCTGTTGGACTGGTTGAAACATCTAGCCTGGAATCCTGGACTCCAAGGTCCCTATGGCTTGAGTTCTTGGAGTGAGGACTCATTCTCCCTACTTAGAACTGAAAAATATAAACAAAAGAGGTCAAAACTGCCAGCCCATGTCTTGGGGCCACAGGTCTTGGGGGAGCAGAAAGTGGTCTTCAGATACTTCCCCTTGGGCTTACTGCATGATACCTTTGATATAAGTGAATGAATCCTTCTCTCCTAGAAACAGCCACCAGAAAGATAGTGCTTCAGTCACATTGCTTTAAAGATAAAAGCATTTCTGGTTTATGGAAGGAGGCTGCTCCCAATTACATGTCAAACAAACACAGAATGTCCATAGCTGTGTCAATCTCGTTTCTCAGGAGCAGGTCCCAAACATCCTCTACTTGGGTATCTCCATCTTAGGTGGTCTGGGCATGTGCCAAGCTCTCATTAGATTTTCTCCCCATTTATGAAATTTGTCATCCTTGGAAAATAGGTGAGGGTGCCTTTTGAATATGCTGTCCATTTACCCAATTGAAAACAGTCCTTTGTTGACCGCTGTTGACAACAGTCATGGTGGAGGCAAAAGTACTGTCCTTTCATTTGCTTCTTCAGTGCCATATAGGCAGGAATGTGATGTTTAACAATCAGCTCTCTGAAAAAAAAATTTTAATGTATGGCACATACTTGTAAGTTTAATTTGCATTATTGACATTTCGTTAAGTCTAGAAATCAACAAAGTAATAAATCAAGCCCTAATTTGTAGTGCTTGACAATTTCTGAGGTGTAAATGATGCTCACACTGAAAATTTAACAATTGGTTCTCCCAAACCAGTTCAAGCTGACTCCAACACATTCTTTTATATGAGTCTCAAAACAGTCAATGTTGCATGATCACATAAAGTCACACATGTATGGATGAAAATAACAATTATCCAAAATAC